TGCAGCCTGTCAGTGAAATCCTGCGCCGCCAAGCCGAGCCCCGCTTGCCCGGCCAAGTGATTCCCCGTACGAAGAGTGGGGAGTGAACTCAGGCCGTTCTCACGCACTCCAGGTGCCGCTGCACTATGCGAGCGATGGGGATGCCGCTCTGGGTGAGCGCTGCAAGGCACACCAACGCCCCCGTGCCCTTCTGGTCTGTCTTGCTACGTACGATCTGCAGCCCCACACCCCCTCCCGGCAACTCCTCAACGCAGCCCACCTTCAGGGCCGCCAACTCGCTCCTCCAGAGCATCTTGAAAAAACCCAAGACCAGCCAGCAGGCGTCCTGGGTGAACTCCATTGCCCTCCGCGGCTCCGCATTTGCCCTGCACCGTAGCTACGCCACGAGCAGCTTCAGCACCCCCAGGGGCAGGGGTGCCTTCGTCTTGGTCGATGCCGACTCCAGCCTCGCAGCAACGCTTGGCCCAGGGTTCGCTTGACCAGCGGGTCGCGGCTGATATATGCCTCTGGCGAGACTCCCATGAACCACTGCCAGTCCGCCAGGGTGCTCAGCGTGCCGATGACGGTGGAGGCCGTGTACCGGCCAACTGCATGCGCTATGAACAGACAGACCAGGTCCCGATTGAGGTCAGACCCACGCTGGCGGGGCAGGGCGCCCGCCTCCGGCACCCCTGCGACCTCTGTGCAGAAGTGTACAAAGTGTCGCCACCCCGACTCGTAGGTGACGGATGAGCTGTCTGTAACCGCGCTGCCGTGTAATGCCACAGTCAGCTGTGCCAGTTCCTCCGAACACTCCCATGGGCCACTGTTCCGATACCCGCCGCCGCAAGCAAGCAAGTGGTGCAGCGGTACCAACCGCCGGGGTAGGCTCCTGGGGTGATTCCGAGGCACTGACGATGCGCCGAGCAGGGGCAGGCCTCACAGCGCAGATCCCCAGCTCCGCAGCAACGCCCACAGACGGAGCAGCTTCCCTCCTCCCGGTGACAGCCTGCCGGCACTGGCCAACGGGGTGCGGGGGGAATCTAGTTGAGCCTGAGCACAATCAAGTCGTACTCGCTGGGTGCGGCTTCGGCAACCCACGGGAAAAGGCAGTGCCGTCGGGAAGGGCGACCCAGCACTGCAGCGTGCCGGTGCAGGGGTGCCGAAAGGCCATGAATCGGCGCGCCTCTGGCGCCAGCTTGACGTGGTGGAAACCGCTCGCCAGGTCGCGCTTCCCCAGGAAGCCGTTGGCTGGCAGTTGTTCGAGAAGTGTGGCGAGATCACGGAGCGGGCAGGGGAGCTTGGTCATGCACTCGTTGACCCCAGACCGAGAGGGGTCGGTTATGGGACGGATGGAGCCATCAGGCTTGAGGACGACGTGCAGGGGGTTGACGACGGCAGCAAAGTCGGTCTCGGAGCCATGCACGCTGGGGTCATATTGCTCGGTGACGCCGGAAGCCAGGAGGTCATCGAAGTGCTGGCTCATGTCGGCGAGGTGTGGGAGGATAGAGGGATAGTTGTGGAGGTGGTGGGACGGGTTAGGCTCCGCATGGAATGCCCAGACGGCCGTGTTGCGGGATGCTGGCATATCCACTCCATACCGCAGCCATGCCTCGGTGATGAGCTTGCTGCCCGCGTGCCCGAACCAAGGGCGCCCCGGGGCTGGAGGGAGCGGTTCGGGGATTATGGCCGCCCCGCCCGTAAAGCTCAACCCCACTGCCGGCACCAGCACCACCACCGCCGCCGCCGGCGATCCGGCACCCCCCCTCCTGCCCGCCGCCTTGCCACCCGACATCAGAGAGTAAGTGGCGGCGGCGGCGGCAGCAGCCAGTTGCTCGTCCAGCTCTACTCGTACAAAGCCATCCAGCAATGGCGACCTTGGTGCCGCCTCCGCCGCCGACAGTTTTACTTCCGGCTCTCCGGCGGCCGCCTTGCCCGTTGGCTGAGATGGTGGCGGTGGTGGCGGCGGCGGCGGTGAAGGGAACACCGGGTCCACCACCTTCTGTACGACCTCCTCTATCAGGCGAGGTAGCAGATCGCTCAGATAGGCACCCGCACGGAAGAGAGCTGGGGAGGTGTTCACCTGCCACACCGCTACTTCTGGCGTATCAGCCTATCTATCCTCCGGATCAGCTTCGCGCGCGCGTTGTTTATGATCCCCCCGCACTTTCCAATAATCAATCTTCCTTAGAGCCCGGTAAGCTTAGTCTATGTAGCGCGAGACTCATAGACGTGTAGTCGTGGATTCGAGTCCCATACGCGGTAAGAATGTATTATGAAATGTAAGCTTACTAGTTGAAATCGGCGAGTATGGCCGCGAATGCTGCCAAGTGCGAGGTCCTTCACTTTTGGGGGCACTACACGTGAGCGAAAGCGGCTTATGGAAGCTGCGTATCGGTTAGGTGGGGTGGGGTTGGGGCGCTGACCGGCAACGAGACGGCACGGTACCTCGGGTTGCACTATGGCCCAGGAGTGCGGTTTTCAGCATGTACCAAGCAACTACTCGCAGCAGGGAGGCGGCCAGCACCCTGTGTCGAGATAAGAAAATTACCACCCCCAAGCTATGTATGTCTCTCTACAATACACTAGTTGTACCGGTGTTTTCTTAATAATATATCCGAATTCCGAATAAAAAATGTTCGTGGTCCTAAAAACTAGGAATGAATAATGTTTCCGACCGTACAAGTTCATTCCTCCAGCCAAAAATGGGCTGTCCATGCCAAAGCCGCTAGGATCTTACAGAAGACATACATATTAACCATATCATAGCAATGTCGCAACTCCGGTTGTCAACAGTGAGCGGGCCAAGCGTCAACGTTCTTCATATGGAGACAATCGTGATGGGCCAGGAAACACGGGCGTCGAGTTTGATGGCAGCAGCCACCCCGGCGCTGCAGCTAAGACTCCTAACCCCACACTCTGTGGCGCAAAGACACCCCGACTGCAGACACAGCGGATCGTGAGGGGGCAGAGCGACGGCGCGTGGCTGGAAAAGAAGGACAAGTATTCCTTCAACTGGCAGCTGTACCCCGGAGCCATGTTAGTTTGGGCTGATGTGCGGTGTTTTCCTTTCCTTCGTGGCTTTTAGGCGTTGTAGTATTGCCCTTGGGCCCTCGGCTCCTATGGGTAGTCTTACAGGTATGGGGTCATGCACCCCCAACCATGTAAAACACACACACACACACACACACACACACACACACACACACACACACACACACACACACACACACACACACACACACACACACACACACATGGACGCAGTGCATTATGCATATCTGGAGATATTGTGGTGTGCACGTATTGTGACATTCCCCAAACCCGGTGTTTGTATGAACTAAACTGTAACTCATCGGGGGGTGTCTGGGGGGGGGTGTAGCCCCCCCCAGCGCCTTACAGATTAAGAATACTTTTATTCCCGCGACTAATAATCTATTTATCCGTTCGGACTGGAAAATTGACGGGCGGTGGTGGCGGTGGTGGCCGTGGTGGCGGTGGTGGCGGTGGTGGTGGCGGTGGTGGTGGCGGTAGTGGTGGTGGCCACTCTGGCGAACAGCAGGCGCTATGGCCAGCTGTAGCGGCTTTGCAAAGTCGGGTGCCGCATGATGCCGCCTTCTCGCTCGAGTTCCTGCAAGCCGTATATGATATTTGCACGACTCCATGCCCGAAGCCACCCCTAA